GTGGCCACCAGCGAGGCACCGGCCGCGTGTCGTAATAGCGGGCCTGCGGAAGCGCAGGGAGCAAGTGGGGGGACGTGTATGGCCCGATGCGAGAGAACCGCGAAGAGAAGGCGACAGGCGGAGAGCCCTGGGAGAAGATGGGGATGGGGCGCACGAAGTGGCCCCCGCCCTCTCGCTTCCCCTCCGGCCACACATGTGTGTGCCTTCACCCAGAGATGCTGTCGTCTTCCCCCCCTCCTCCCTTCCCCCCCCCCCCCCCCCCTCCCCCTACTCCAACTTTGCCAGCGGGGAAGGCCCTTACACGTGGGGTTTCCTTTTCTTAGAGGGCGGCCTCATGCGTCTGCCCCGCTCCTCCCCCCTCCCACTTCCTCGGCTGGCATGCAGGGGAGGATAATATATATGTCCTTGTGTTGTTTTCAGCCTCCCCTCTTCTTTTCTCCTCGCGCGCCGCCGAGGCTCGGCAGGGGGGGCGAGCGCGCCTGCCGAGAGGGGACGCCGTGTCTGTTTGTGCAGGGCTGCGGCGCATGCACGCACCGGGCACGCCGGGTAATATTGATGGCGTGTTCCTCGGCGGGCGGGCGGGCGGGCGGGCGGGCAAAAAAAACCCCGCCCCCGGCCGGCGGCCCCCCTGCCCGTGCGGGATGGGGGGGGGGGGAGGGGCAGAAAGCAGGGGTGTGCTGGCGGGGGCGACGAAGGGCAGGGACCGGATTTCGCCCCCGGCCCCCCGACACGGAGGCTGCTTTGCCCCGAGCCCTGTGGTCCGGGCTCCCCCCCCCCCCCCTCAACTCGGGCCGCGGCAAGCGCGTGTGTGTATGCTGTGTATGTGTGCGTGGGTGCGCAAGCGCGTGTGCGTGTGCCCGTGTCTATGGCAACATGGTGCGCGCGCGCGCGTCGGCGGGGCCCCGGCGCGGTGCAGCTCGCATGCGCGCACGCACATGCGCACGTGCGGCGGGCGCGCATACGCCACGCACATGCCAACTATGCGGCGAATGGGCGCACCGGGTGTGATGCGACATGTGACCGGCCGTGCTATCGGATTCCGCATTTAGATGCGGCTCGTGATTGTCCGGGGGTTTTAGAACCCGCCCGTCACGATCGCCATCTCGGCGGGGGGCGGAGCCGGCCACCACGGCCGGGGCGGTGGGGCGAAGGCGCGGACGCGCGGCCAACGAACTCCAAGCGTCGGGGCACGCTCCCGGCTTCCGTGGGCGGCGGGGCTCCCGCCGGGCCGCTCACGGGGGGGGGGGGGGGAGTGGCACATACGCCGGCGGCAATTAACGGATGGGCATGCGGGCGGCCTGGAGCTATGGCGGCCGCCCCCGCAGCGCCCTTGGGGCGCAGGGGCGAGGAAGGGGGGGGGGATGCATGGTGATCGAGCGTGCGGCCGCACTCGACTGTGTCAAGTGCCCCGTGGCCTGGAGGCCCGGCCCCAAGGCCCGGGCGCACACACACACACACACGTGCATATGCATACATGCATGCATACACGCCCCGTGTGTCGGGGCGATATGGTGGAGCCGCCCGCCGCCGTGGCCGCAGCCGGGGGCCTGGCTGGTGGGACGGGTGGAGATGGAACCCGCGGCGGCGTGTTGTTCCCCCCCCTTCCTCCCCCCCCCCCCTCCCCCTCCCGGGCCCGGAGCGGGCGAGAAGGCCGGGCGAGGTTTCACGCGGATCGACCCAGGACGAGGGGTGTGGGTGTGTATTGACAGCGGCTGGCCGCAGGGCCGGCCGGTGATTGTCCACTTCGGTCAAAAAAGGCCGCCGCCCATCCGGCCGAATGTGGCCGCCGAAACCGGGCAGATTTAGGTTGCAGCGGCCTTGTCCAAGAGGCCGCTGGGGGCGGGCGGGCGGGCGGGCAGGCGGGCAGGGGCGCCCCCATGTACGCGGGCGCAGCCGGCCCCCCCCCAACCATGGGCCGCCTTCCCCCTCGCCTCGCCGGCGCGCCCCCCGCAGGACGAGATGACACCGGCCGAACGGTCCTGCTGCGAGAGAGACACACGCGCGCACGGGCGGCTTGCCGGCTGGTGCGGCCCCGGGGCCTTGCACTTCGACAAAGGCGCACCGGTGCCAGGGCGGCCGTCCGCGCAGTTAAGCGGGCGCCTCGCCCCCTGCGCGGGGGCGGCATGTTGTTTATCTGGGCGGCATGTGTGCTCCGACGGTGGGGGCGCGCGCGCGGGCGCGAGCCGGCCGACACACCCGGACCGGCCCCCGGCCCTTCGTGCCGCCCCTCTTCCGGCCGCCGCGGGCCGGCGTGCGGAATGGCGCGGCGAGACGCCGGGGCCGGTCCAGGGCCCCGCATTGCGTCAGATGGCCCTCGCATCCGCGACGCGCCTCCGGGGCACACCTGCGAGGGCGTTGTGCCTCACGCGCCGCGGCCGGATGGCCGGCCCGCCGGGGGCTCGCAAAAGCGCCAGAGGCGGCCAGCGAGAGGGACTTAGTTGGACATCGCGCCCGGGCCGGCCTGTCCGGGAGGCCGGGGGGGGGGGGGCGGGGGGAGCTGGAGAGCAACCACCAGGAGGAGACCTCCCGGGCGCGCGCGCACGTATGCACACACGCACGCGCACGCGCGCACACGTACGCACGCACGCACGCACGCAAGTGCCCAAGGGCGATCCCTCCCCTGCGCCCCGGCGCGCGTCCTGTCATTTCGCCAGCCCAGCGCGGCCGGCGTCACCGGGCCCCGGGCGGAGAGGAGCGGAAAACGGGGGGGCCCGCGCCCGCCCGGTCCCCCGGCCCCTCCCCGTCGCCGGGCCTATTTGCGCGGCGCGCCCCCGGCACAATACGGGGACGATCCGGCGTGCTGGCTGACAGTCGTCCCACACCCACACACCCACACACACACACAGGCGCTCCCAGCCCCTTTTTCGCGCCGGGACCCGGCCGCCCGCTCCCTCTCTCCCCGGCCCTTATATTATCTTGTCAGGCGCCCTTGCGCCGGCGGGCCGCTGTCATGCCCGGTGGTCCCCCCCCCCCCCCCCCCCTCGATCTGTGCCTCGCCCCCTTCCACCACCGGTGGGGCGCCTGGGGCTCCCTGCTAACAAGAGCCAAGGGACAGCGAGGCAGGAGGGCAGCGGGGGCCAACGCGTATGATAACGCCCGGATAATGGAGCGGCACGGCCAGGGCCGCCGGGAAAGGCCCCCCCTCCCCCGGTTGTGTGGAGCGCCCCGGCCTCCTCTCCGGACGGTCGGATGACGGGCCGGCTTCGCGCAGAGTGCCGGAGGGCGTGACTACCGACGAAGGTGAGGTGGGCTTCTTTGCGGATCTTCTGGCCCTCCGGAGCGCACACCCGTCGCCAGATCACTCCATTCCTCCCTGGTGGGGCCGCGGTGCATTTGCACCGCACACACCCAACCAAGGGAAGCCGGTGGCAGGGCAGGT